GTCTGCTAAACAGAGAAATTCTGTTATCTGGATCGGTCTTTTCCACTTGAAAGTATATCAATAGTTATAAGTGAGCTGGTTGCATTATATCTGATGCCTGCTTCAATTTCTTTAAATATGGAACATTCCCTTTATTGCCAATCGGTCGGTGACCACTCGTCCCTTCCGCCTCCCCCTTTTGCGCGCGTGTGCATGCTGGGAGGTGGCTGTTGCAAATGCCGGAAGAATTCTATTTGATCTGTTTCAAGAAGCAATTACAAACCAGTGGGGGTGATGATAATTCAAAGCTAAGATAAACACAGTCGAAATCGCTTGCCGATTTCGTAGAACATAGCCATGCGACGAAAGCGGTGAAGTACACCGGAAGAGTAAAAAAAAAAATCCGAAAGCATTATTTGAAGCATTGTCATGTAATTAGCTCACGGTCTGCTTACTAAGACTCAACGTCGACTAGAGAATATACCCCGTGAAGACTATAAGGTGCTGCTTGGCCGTAGCTGTGGACTTCCCTGAAAAAAATTACTGTATTTCCTGGGCCCTCCTGGCGCACCCATAGCAAATCATTCCCACTCGATAAATATGGTGTCTGTGACTTTTCTCAAAGCAATAGGTTCGAGCAATGCATTCGGTCGTTACTGTGGATTACACTTCTCGCCAGAAAGAATGAATGAACTGAGTAACTGCATTTGACACGTGCGCGGCCGGGTGTTTTTCTTAAAGGGAGTGACATATTTCAAAAACGTACTCTATTGAAATCATAGGACTGCTTACAACTAATAATTGCACTGGGTAGTACCAATGCAGCAACACCAAGACGTAATGAAAATATCAGTTTTTATAATTTTGAGGTCCAAGGTACGCTGTTAACGTTTTGTAACAGCACTACAACTGTTCACTGCAGTCGCGACCACCGTCGCCATGACAACCACCGTGCGCAATTCCAGTGATGGGAACACAAGAACGTTTTTGATTGGCCCAGCAGGCAAGGGTCTGTAACCGAGAACTGCATTGGTTAAAGTTTAAACTAGGGTGTCACATGGATATGGGATATGCCTACGATGGCCGATGGTAGGGCGCCACGTCACAAGGGCGGTCCTCATGCCACGGCCCATGACGCTTCCGCCGCGTCAGCCGTGTACCGCGAACTAACAGACGTAACGAATCAAAAGCCAGCGCCAAACAAAACACATCAGCAGCATTGACAAACGTCACAATCCCTTAACAACTAGTGAAAGGCCACAAACCGCTCAGGTCCTGGTATGGGACCCTGCCGCAGATTGTAGCGGCACCCGTTCCACATCCCATCACTAGAGCCAAAGTGCGCCTCAAGAAAGGCCATTGTGGTAATTGTCATGAGATAGAAATAAAAACCATAGCATAACGTTTCGTTGAATTCGCGGGATAACAGCTTCGTGTTCGCACATAAGTTTGTCTATACCGAGTGTCTGAAGCCTCCGCAGTGTTTTTTTACAAACATTTTGACGCATTGGCGTATTGCGAACAGTACAGAACATACACGTGGGAAAAAGGAAGGCAAATTGGACGCATTACTTTCATATTGGTGAGCAGGCATTCAGATGAGATTTCTCCCGGATAGTCGGCTACTCCAAAAAGAAATCCTGAGCTTTTCAGAATGATTTCGAGAAAACTGGTACCCCTGATGAAATGGTGCGCGCCTGGTGTAACAATAAGTGACAAGTACAAAAAAGATGGGATACTCAAGTGAGATACAAAGGTGAGATACTGAGGTCACCTGGCCTTTATCGTGGCTGCTGTCACCGACCGCAGACCGTACCTGTCAAGGGCGCCTAAAGGGAGTGCCCACATTTGGAGCGTATTTCAGAGGTATGCTGAGGTGAACCCGCAGGGCCTGCCATTAATATTTATAGAAAGGAGTGGTGTGATCGTTTCTCCTACAAGGTATTATGAGTATTTTCATTTTCTTACTTTTGAGTCCAAATTACGTATTCAACGTTTCAGAGCAATGCCGTTGTTCCTTTGGACCACACTGGCGCACATTTGGACAATACTGGCGACCAATTTTTTAAAAAAAGATTTGATCCGAGCCTTTTGAATGGATGGATTCCTGGGATCAGAGCTCATGCCAAGCAGTGTTTGTTCTGTAAGCCCTGACGCCTGCCATCTGATCGCGCACTTCCATATCAAGGGCAGAATTTGGCAACGAAAGTTTAACGTGTCGCAATGCTCATCACGGTCCGTCCTGCCCACTGACGTCATCTGACCTTTATCGTGGCCGCTGCCACCGGCCTTAGGCCATATCTGTCAAGGGCAAATAGCGAGCGCCTAAAGCGACTCGAGCTCACCCGCCACGGTTGGATGAATCGGAAGGCAGGCACTCTAACCGACTGAGATATTAGTTAGCTTATATAAGTTATATATATATATATATATATATATACTCGCTCGCTATATACTCGCTCATAAACTTGCATATATATATATATATATATATATATATATATATATATGTATATATATATATACACAAGTTTATGAGCGAGTCTGATCAAATAAAGTACAACGCACGTTTTACTTTGAAAACCGACGTGTAGAGCATCCAGGTAATGGCACCAATGCGCATTATTATGCTATGATTATAACAATATATGGTAAGGCCTGCAGTCGCCCAAAAATAGCTTTCGAGCGCACGGGACAAAGCCGCGCATTTCGGCCTGGCGCATGGCTTGGGAATGCCACAGTTTCTCTCCACTGCAGTTTCAGTCTACGAAACCTACGGCCACAGATTCCAGCACGATATAGAGTGCGCCACCAGTACCGGAACTGGGGTCCGACGCGCCCCCTTTACCGCGTCCGTGCACCAACTGGGGATGTACGCTACCAGTCGTTGACGCAGGCAGTGCCGAGACCTAAGGGAGAGTCTGTGTTGAAGCTTATAGCTGTGTGCACGTAGGCACTTTCTATACCTTTATAAGCATATGCTATACCATACATACACCATTGCTATGCTTACACGCAGCACATGATTACCATACTCTTAGCTTTTCAGATATTAGGTTTACATGGCGGTCGTGCTTTCCTCGCTATTTTTGTGTTATTCGCATTACGCTTGAACTCTCTAGCGCAGTGTACGCCCCACGCAGCGCCTGTTCCCGCACAGCCCGCAGCACCCACTCCTGTACAGCGTGCAACGCCCGCTCCCGCGCAACACGCAACACTCGTTCTCGCACAGTACGCAGCACCCGTTCTCGCTCAGTACGCAGCACCCGTTCTCGCTCAGTACGCAACACCCGTTTTCGCACAGCTCGCAGCACCCGTTCTCGCACAGCACAGTCCGCGAAGCTTCGTCCCATGGATGTGTCTCCGCGCGTCCCAATGACACGGAGGAGGGAGAAGAGCTAGGATGCGGTAGCCGCTGGACTGTAACCGACATTCGGGCAGGAGCTGCGGCGCTTGGCAGAATGCATTCCTTCACGGTGCAGAGCAGTAGAAAACGCCGTAATGTACGTCACAGCTGTTTATTGGAGGCTCCACGCACGCGACCACCCTTCGATATACTCGATCTCCCGTGCATTCCGTAATAAATAAATTCGGACTGGCAACACTGTACAATTTCAACAAACCCATCAGCGAAAATGCGCCCCCTCCGCTCCGCGGCTAGCAAAATACTCACGAACTCGATGCGCTCGTGCGGCCTAGCAAAATATGCGCGCGGCTGCAGCCATCGCGAATCCGTCAGTTACACAGATGAAAGTCCGGATCCCCGGGGGGCGGGGGTCACGCACCGATGGCAGGCCCGGACCCACCAGCAGACAGGCGCGCCCGCCGTCCGGACCAATCGGAACGGCCGGAAATGCGCCGACCACGCAGCTGCCGCCGCGGGCGTCGGGTCGGGCCATCGCAGCCGACGGGTCGGCGACGCAGCTGCCACCGCAGGCGCCCAGCCGGCGGGCCGGCCACGTAGCCGCCACCGCAGGCACGTAGCCGCCACCGCAGGCGCCCAGCCGGCGGGCCGGCCACGTAGCCGCCACCGCAGGCACGTAGCCGCCACCGCAGGCACCCAGCCGGCGGGCCGGCCACGCAGCCGCCACCGCAGGCGCCCAGCCAGCGGGCCGGCCACGTAGCTGCCACCGCAAGCGCCCAGCCGGCGGGCCGGCCGCGCAGCTGCCACCGCATGCGTCCGGCCGGCTGGCCTGCCCGCCGCCGGCTCAATGTCGGCGCGTTGTTGAGAAACCTGCCCAATATTGCTACTGGAGAAAGCCGCGAATCCGCAGCGTCTTACGCCGAGGCCGTTGACATGCGCACTGAGCATTCCCAACTATCCGTGTAACGATGGGTGATTATGAAAGTAGAGACAAGCACTTGAGTGACCCCATGAAAACATTGACCCTGGAGCATGAATATCCCCGCCCCTCACAATCGGAACTGCAACGTCAGCTATGCAAAGATATCACAGGGCGAGCCGCCTCATCGACTAGTGAGTGGCGCCGTTTCGTTCGGTGACCACGGCGACCGCATGTCAGATCGCCACCAAAGAGACCGAGATGTTTGGAAAGTCTGAGATGCTCATGTCGACTGGGCCAACAAGTTCAATAAGAAAAACAACTAGAGGGCAAGTTTCTCAAATATCGAGTGATGATCGAGCTATCGTAATTAACAGATTTCCACACGGATTTCCACGTAATACGGAGGGCAATAATAAACACAAGGCTCGGGGCATAAAACAAGAGCATTCCCTTCGACGACTTCACACGACAAAGGGCGGCAATTACATGAGCATGGTTCAGATAACAAAAGTGCCGCATCAATCAATGCAACTGCCAATGCGGAGCGAACCCCAAACATCCCGTGCAGAGGGCTCCAGCCCGTTTCAACCCACCCCTGTATGTCCTAAAACCAAGTCAGAGCGTGAAACGACGGTGGGACCACATGAACACAAATTTAAAATATGTTCAATACAATCGTGACAATGCGGTGTCGCCGAGTCCAATTCGAACTAGCGAGCGGTCGGGCGGCGGGCGTCACTTGCCGAGCCGTATCCGGCTGCGCGTCACTGGCTTCTTGGCCGGCCGCTCGGCGCCGGCCGGGTCCAGGCCGCGCCGCTTGTTGGCGCCGGCCGCCAGCGGCGCGTCGCCGTTATGCGAGCGCAGCGCCGAGCGGCGCGTGCGCGGCGGCGTCACCAGCGACGAGCGCAGCTGGCGCACCTGTTGGCTCCACTCGTCCGTTTTCCGCCGCACGCGCTGCAGCAGGTCGGCTGGGCAGCGGGCGCCGGCGGAGAGGGGCGCCGCGGCGCGACCGGCCGCCGCCGCCGCCGCGGCCACGGCGGCGGCGGCGGCCGGCGCCGAGCGGCGCCGCGCTGGCCGGCCCGGCGCCGCCTGGTTCTCCGTGTCGCTGTCCTCGCCGGTGGAGGGCGCGCGGCGCGCCGAGCTAGAGCTCGACACCTCGTTGATTTGTACGTCCCTGAGCTCAGTGGGCGGCGCCAGGCCGGCGGAGAGCGCCGCCAGCAGCGGCAGCGGCGCCGGCGCCGGCGGCAGCAACGGCGGCGGCGGCGGCGGCGGCGACGCGGGCGGCACCGCCGCCACAGCCGTCGGGTGCGGGCACGAGCGTCTGCTCACCAGCGCCGGCTTCAGCGTGCTTACCACCGGCACCGGGTTGAACACCTTGTAGTCTCTGAGTGGCGAGGCGCCCGGCACGCGCGTCTCATGCCCCGTGCGGAAGAAGGCCGGCCGGAACTTGGCGGCCACCTTGTGTCGGTCCGGCAGTCGCGGCGGCTCCTCGGCGTGCCGCTTGGGCGCCGACGTCGTCTCCGACTCCGATGTCTGGCGCAGGCGCTTCTTCAGCACCTGCCAGAACACGGGCGGCCTGTTAGCGGGGTGTGGAGTACAGCGCAGCACACGGCATGGCCAGTGACGATTCGTAGCGCCAGTGCTGCATCGCACACCAACTGGGCCATGCAGCACACGCGGAAGGTGCGGGACTACGAAAGAGCGACGAGGATGTCGTCTTTTGCTGTTCGGTCATGCGCACAAATGTCACAAAATATTCAGTAATATGCAAACAAACTAGTGCGGCCACGTAGGCTAGCTGTTATCCACAACGAGCTTCAGCGTCTCAGGGATTACTCTACATTTTACAGGGTTTGAATTGATAAAGCCACTGTCATCATCATTCCCTGGAGTTTACAGCCTTATCCTTCTTTAAACATTAAATCCCCATGTTTTTGAGCTTGATGCGCCGTGAATTTGTGCAGCCTATGACGCGCCTTCCACGGGAGTCACCCAGACACGCATGACGTCATCAAAACGTCACGCGAGCACCCTACCTCACTGGCCATGTTGTGCTCATGATCAAGCAAGTACGGCCACTTAATCATTCGTGTTTGCGGTGGCGCAGCACCAACTGGTCTAACAGCATGCAATAGGCTAATAGCCAGATTTTGCTTGATTGCATGTCTCAATCACGAACCGGGGTTCACCATGACTAACAGAGGCATCTGGGCAACTACTACGTATAACGGCCATCAGACTGAGAATCAAATAGAACATAACACCGTAACCGAAAAGGCATGTGAGGGAGACGTTATCACAGACAACACATGCAAGAATACTAAGACAAAAAGCCCAAATTCACACACACACACACGCACACACACATACGCTAGCTCGTCGAATTCAGTCATAAACCAACGTCATCGTGCGGCGCGTAGATGCATCACAAATGAGTCACGCCGTCCGCTACTGCAGTACTCTGGGAGACTTATATCAAACGATGACGTAATGAGGACCATATTTACTAATGAGTAAAGTTGTGTTATCTACAGCAGTCTTTTGGAGCATACCAACAGTTACAGGCAAGCTTTTCCCTATCATATTTGATGTTTGCCTGAATATCTTCAGATGCGCCAGTCTATTTAATCCACCATGCCCGGCACCGTAACCATCACTTATTTCATATACCTCACATACTTTATCAAACGCAATGACAGACGGAAATCAACAAAGATCTTTCCACCTTTCAGCGAAAGAGGGGCTCCTGCATTCGAGCTCCAGTGAGCCCAGTGCCAGACGTTCTCCCACGGCACGTTGGCTGTACCTACACGCGGCGGCCCATAATCGTTCGCAGGAGCGCCGTCTACACACAGCCGTTGTTCACCGCCGCCCGGTCACCGCTCAGCCACCGGCCTCATGTCTGACCTGCACTTTAGGTGGTCCCGGCGGGTCCAGCATGACGGTGACGACAGTGGTGTTGTCGGCTCGTAAACACTTCATCTTCCACTTGCTTAGCGCTAAATCCACCAGCCGTTTCGACGGGTTGATCCACTGGCGCTCCTGCCAGCAAAATGCCGTGTTACAGCACGCCGCCTGCGGAGGTCATTTTGCGGCCCATGTTGTGGGCTGAGTGCGAAGTCGTGAATGCGAACACACACAATGATAACTTGGCTGGCTTATCACTGGGCCGATGCAGGCGGCATTTTGACACACTGACAATTTTTGCGAGATGAGGGCGTCCCGCAGTGATTCGATCATTGTGCAGATTTCATCATGGATCAAATATTCTTATATATAAATATAATATATTTTATAAATATACCACCTCATCGGATAAAGCCCGACATCAAGTCAGGCTTTACGCGCACACCCGTGGAATGCCTGATCACAGCCCACAAGTCGTGATTTTCCAAACCTTTGTCCCAGTCTTCAGCACAATTTGGAGCATAAACGTGCCCCCCCCCCCCTCCAAAGCGAATTTATAGTGAAACCGCTATACATTTCCCTCTCGGACATCTTCGCCGATTCTTAGAACCAGCCCGAGTAAAAAAAAGCGACTACATGTGAATAAAGAACAGCACAGAGGAGGCGGAGACGGAGGCGGAGGCGGAAGGGGGGGGGGGGGGGCGGGCGGCAGTCCGGCGCTTCCCGTCCCGCCGGGGCGGCTCGGGCGCCTCCCGCCCGGTGCCTCACGTTCGGCGGGAGGGGCTCGGTCCGCTCACCTCGCCCGTGTTGGTGTGGTTGATGAGGCACTCCTCGTTGAAGAGCTCGGCGTGCGCCACGTTCGTGACGGCCATCTGCGGTGACACCATGTTCCAGAAGCCGTCGGTGCCGAGCACTAGACAGCGGTGCGCCGTCACGTCCACAGTCAGCACGTCCAGGTCCGGCTCCGGCGACACCACGTACTCGTTGTTGGACGAGTTGAAGCTCCAAAGATCGCCTGCCGCGTCAGACGCACGAAGTCACTGGGCGGGTCGGGCGGCGCGGGCGCCGACAGCGGTTAGGTGTCGAGCTATGGAGGCCTGCCCGGCTCAGGCAAAGCACGCAGTACAGCCAAGCGCGCAGGCGCACGCCTCTGTTAGTCAGCCATGATGTCAGCAGCCTGGAAATGTCGCGCCCCGAGAGGACATCAATCACCTTTGCCTACACTTAGGATCGGCATAGCGGTAGGTGAGCAACAGTGTGGTACCTTCGCTCCCAAGTAATTTGAATTGAGATGTCAAAGAGCAAAATGTTTCTTTCGATGAATTCTAATTCTGGATAGCGTGAGCAATTACTTTGAAAACGGACGGGATCGTTTTCGCTTTAAATCACGTTACGCAATGCCAACGTGAAGAATGATCGGCACCAGCCACTTATCCGAACCAGTCATGCCCCCCCCCCCCCCCCGTGACAATTGTACGCCACCACGTCTCCGTCCGCCCTGACCCCTGCCGGCTCACCTAGTGACGACTGTGCGTCACCACGTCCCCGTCCGGCCCGACCCCTGCCGGCTCGCTTAGTGACGACTGTGCGTCACCACGTCCCCGTCCGGCCCGACCCCTGCCGGCTCACCTAGTAACAACTGTGCGCCACCACGTCCCCGTCCGGCCCGACCCCCGCTGGCTCACCTAGTGACCGGGCTACGGCCAGAAACGGTATCTCGTCGATCTCCGTGGAGCGCCGGATGGGTCCGCGGTGTCCGATCCGCGGCCGGTTCCAGACCACCCGGGGCACGCCGGACTTGTTGATCACCTTGCCGCCGCTCTGCTGGATCCGCTCGCACTCGTCCACCGACTCGGGCTTGTGGTCGCGCGTCAGCGGCCGCGCGTACCAGTGACGAGGGTCGTCCCCTACCGCAGACCCACACTCTGAGCACACATACACGGGGGGACCAGTGACAAGGGTCGTCCCCTGCCACAGACCCACACACTGAGCATACACACAGGGGTACCAGTGACGAGGGTCGTCCCCTGCCGCAGACCCACACACTGAGCATACACACAGGGGTACCAGTGACGAGGGTCGTCCCCTGCCGCAGACCCACACACTGAGCATACACACAGGGGTACCAGTGACGAGGGTCGTCCCCTGCCGCAGACCCACACACTGAGCATACACACAGGGGTACCAGTGACAAGGGTCGTCCCCTGCCACAGACCCACACACTGAGCATACACACAGGGGTACCAGTGACGAGGGTCGTCCCCTGCCGCAGACCCACACACTGAGCATACACACAGGGGTACCAGTGACAAGGGTCGTCCCCTGCCGCAGACCCACACACTGAGTACACAGGCATGGGGGTACCAGTGGCGAGGGTCGTCCCCTGCCGCAGACCCACACACTGAGCACACAGGCATGGGGGTACCAGTGACGAGGGTCATCCCTGCCACAGACCCACACACTGAGCATACACACAGGGGTACCAGTGACAAGGGTCGTCCCCTGCCGCAGACCCACACACTGAGCACACAGGCATGGGGGTACCAGTGACGAGGGTCATCCCTGCCACAGACCCACACACTGAGCATACACACAGGGGTACCAGTGACAAGGGTCGTCCCCTGCCGCAGACCCACACACTGAGCACACAGACACGGGGGGTATCAGTGGCGAGGGTCGTCCCCTGCCACAGACCCACACACTGAGCATACACACAGGGGTACCAGTGACAAGGGTCGTCCCCTGCCGCAGACCCACACACTGAGCACACAGACACGGGGGTACCAGTGACGAGGGTCGTCCCCTGCCACAGACCCACACACTGAGCACACAGACACGGGGGTACCAGTGGCGAGGGTCGTCCCCTGCCGCAGACCCACACACTGAGCACACAGACACGGGGGTACCAGTGGCGAGGGTCGTCCCCTGCCACAGACCCACACACTGAGCATACACACAGGGGTACCAGTGACAAGGGTCGTCCCCTGCCACAGACCCACACACTGAGCACACAGGCATGGGGGTACCAGTGACAAGGGTCGTCCCCTGCCGCAGACCCACACACTGAGCACACAGACAAGGGGGTACCAGTGGCGAGGGTCGTCCCCTGCCACAGATCGACACACTGAGCACACAGACACAGGGGTACCAGTGACAAGGGTCGTCCCCTGCCACAGATCCACACACTGAGCACACAGACATGGGGGTACCAGTGACAAGGGTCGTCCCCTGCCACAGATCCACACACTGAGCACAAAGACAGGGGTATCAGTGGCGAGGGTCGTCCCCTGCCACAGATCCACACACTGAGCACACAGACACAGGGGTACCACTGACAAGGGTCATCCCCTGCCACAGACCCACACATTCAGCATACACACAGGGGCACCAGTGGCGAGGGTCGTCCCCTGCCACAGACCCACACACTCCGCACACACGTGCTACTGGCGATGGTCAGCCCTGTCCCACAGACACAGGGGTACAAGTGGCAAGGGTTGTTTCCTGCCACAGACCCTTGTTCTTCAGTTGCTCCCAACGGAAAATGACTTTTCCACGAAATCGAACGGGAGAAGTGATATCATGGTAGCACTGAAGCATTGAGGGAAAACCCTGATTGATGAGCTTATCCGTGAAGGCATAAAAATTCACCAGTCACAAATTTTCAAGAAGTACATTTCTTGTTGCTTAGAATGAGTGAAGCTGCTAGTTGAGAAAACATTGGGCTCCAGAAAGCACATGAGAGCCTGGACAGGTTAAGATGCTCAAGTTGGAAATTAGGTCATAGTTGAACTCATGCAGTCTGTTATATCACTCATAATTGGCCCAGATATGATGGGTTGACAATGGCAATGAGAAGATACAGTGACATGGCAATACAAAGTCAAGCCTAAGTTTGTAGAAGTCACTGGATATAAGTGCAAACACATCTTGTTTGGTAATGCATACAGGGAATGACTAACACATTACTCACCAGGTTTCTGATATCCCAGAACAATAGCTGAGTCCCCCACATGTCCAGTGTAGATCTTGCCTCTCCTGATGAAGGCAATACTGGCTGTGGAGCCTGAGGTGCTGGGCAGACCAGCTGATGTCTTTGGCCAATGCTCTGGGGGTGGAAAATGGAGACATCATAAGAATGTGTCATCCCCCACATGACATTCTGTGTACCAAACTGCAAATTGATGAATAGCACCACATACAACAGACTGGCAAGTGTACCTTGCTTAACAGGACAGATTTATTTAATGTGGACAAGCTAGGCTGGTATTTCTATGTAATTCAACTGCAATGATTAACATCGTCCATCACACCAGGCATTAGCAAGTTGTAACTTACAGCTCTTGTTTAAAAAAAAAACAGGCTCAAGTACCATCCTGACACTGCTAAAGGATTTAATTCACAGCTGTATTTGCCCTTATGGTATGGATATCAAACACCCAGGGCACCAACGTGCCTGATAGAAATGACAGTGTAGTATCCAAGGTCACTGCAATCAGCTGATGTTGGTTTGTGTTGTGGTTTGGTCAGGTGATGCATCCTATATTGTTATGTGATGTCCACACCTGCCCACACATCAGGGCACCTTACACCTTAACTGTTACACCTTAACTGCATGGTCATACAGCCTTATCATCAAATATGAGAGGTCTGATGTGGTCAGACAGGATGGTCTGGCCTGGCCTGATGGCCAGAGCCAGATAGCCAGGGCTGGGGTATGGGGCTAGGGTCCGGGACTGGGGTCTGGTGCCATGGAGCCAGGGCTAGGGTCCAGGGTCAGGGTCTGGTGCCAGGGAGCCAGGGCTAGGGTCTGGGGTCAGGGTCTGGGGAAGGACCTGAGGCCAGGCTGGAGCCAGTCTAAGGTCAGGAGTCTGTGGCCAGGCCCTGGGCCAGGCCTTATTTAGATGGGTTCAAGTACTTCCAAGTTTGACTGGTTACATCTGGCCCAACTGGATCCTGTCCAATGTCATGTTTAATTAAGTAGTTCATAACGGTAGTCCAGATTTTGTGGCCATCCGCTGGTGCTTAAAAAAAAACTGCTACACAGCACTCACCAGCCTCACTGCATTTAGTTACAGCATGCTACCACATTCAAAGTTCCCATTGTTGGAGGTGTGGAAGAAAAAGATGTGTAAATTCAGGATATTAATAAAACTTATTGAGATTTAATGTCAAATTCAATATGCAAGGTAATTCAGCCTTGTTGCTACTCAGTGAAACCAAATTATGGCAATATAAAAAACAAATAATAATTAAAAAAACCAGAGATCCAGGCCAAGAACCTGAGGGCAAAAGTTACCAGCACATGAATTGGAATTTGATGTCCAATAGCTACCATTGTCCACTGCACAATGTACCATCAGACACCCATACTGCATGCACTGAGAGGATCCTGTTGTGGTGAAAAAAGAAGATGAGGCCTAGAGTGGTGAGAACCTTGTGGTCCCACCCTCCAGCGCTCACACCAATGGCTCGTATCATGCTAGACCCTGCCTTCCAACCCACCAACCTGTGGCAGGGTGGGTTCGAGTTGCTTTAGGTGCTCGCTATTTGCCCCCGACAGGTATGGCCTGTGGCTGAGGCCGATGGCACCTGCCACGTGAAAGGTCAGTTGACATCAAAGGGCGGGACAGGTCACGCTGAGCCTTGTGGCACGTTAAAACTCTGATTGGATGGCAGGGGTCGGGGCACAACCGACAGGGACTGCTTAGTGTGAGCTCTGACCGCACAAATGCATTCATTCAAAGTGTGGATGAAATCTTTGTAAAAGGTTGTGAAGGGAAGTTGATTGTGGAACAATATCTCGGTATGTCCACATTTACAAAAACCTACCTCGGTATAGCAGTATTACAAAACGAAAGATGACAACCATGGATGAAACTATTGTTTAAATGTTGCTGGACTCCATATGAGAACACCCAGCTCTTTAAAAACTGTTCTTATTCGGGTGTGGGCCTGAATTAAGGCCAGTGCAGACCCAAGCTTAAGATGTTGTATATCTGTCCCATACATCCCCAGGGCACATCATGACAATGAATGAATGAAACTTCATGTAAGCCTCTGTAATAGAAATAGAAACATTTAGCACATAGTAGTTAGTGCAGCTACCCAACAACTAAGTCGCTATCATTCTCATCTTAGGGACAGACACTGGGGCAATGTGAAACCCACCTACACTTCTACCAACCTGGATTCATTTAGCTTTTGGCCAGGGGTTTAGTTTCCTCTTCAGCTTGCTCTTTCCCCAAACTTTGAGCAGAAATTTGGTCAAATTCAGAGAGAAAATGTGGTTTGTACTATCTATTTGGGCTTAACTAGTCTCTCTGCTCACCTCCCCCCCCCCCCCCCCCTCCAAACTTAGGTGCAAAACTGCACCATTTGGAACATCAGACTGCTGCATGAACAGGGCCTGGAGGTCAATGCAGTGGGGTCAAAGGAATTATTTTCACCTCATGGAGCAAACTAGCCCCATATAGGCTATAAACTAGCATCTGCCACATTTACTCATTGATGTTGAGCCTGATAAAATGTTATCCTCAGTGTATGATGCTGAGCTAAATTTGTACATAGTATTTTTCTTATTTAAGGCTAATCTCACAGTCACCACCTGAACTGTCCTTTTCAAAACAAAAACCATTATTTCAATACAAAACCAACAGGCCTACCCAATAGATAATAAGAAACCTGGCTTTAATTCAAAATTCCGACCATAATTTCGTGGTGTCGTTCTGTAGATGAAAAGGAAAAATTGCATGCTCTAACTAATGCCACTTTCCTGCCCATTCAGCCCGTAGTCAGCCCGGATTTCTTGATGGAAAACATGCCTTCTCCCCAATGCTAAATCCTCCCCATGGGCCGGAGACTTCGGAGACGTTGATTCCGCGTGCTTAAGCTGGTGTTAAGGATGGTGTTTGACATCACTGTTATACCTTATAACCTGCATTTTGAGAACCTTGAATGAAAATTGAATTAGGATAACAATAAAAGTATTTTACTTTTTTGCATCCAATATATATTTATGTATGTTAGTGCAACATCACGTATCTTAGGATCAATTTCAGCGTGTGATCCAGAAAAGTTGAATCCTTGTGTGATGAGGCTGTTCTCTGTATTCCCTCGACTATCCACTCCTCCAGGAGATGCTGTTACTTTGAGAATGGCGCTCGGAGTTGGGCGTCTGAGCGCTCGGTACCCGGAGGGTGGGTTAAACATGTGCTGATGGGCAGGACTGGAACTGGGCACTGGATGCGCTGAAAGGAAGGATTGTGATATGTCGTGTCTGAAACTTAGGTGCTCCTCGGTGTTTTTAGCCACGGGACATTTTGTTCCTCACAAACATACACTGGAAAGAACATGAAAAATTGTTCTCCAAGAGCAATGTGAGATGAAGGCACGCTATTCCTGCAACTTCGACAGCATGACGCGCCACACTCACACGACTAAACGAGGGATACTACTCGCAGGTTTGAGCCGAATCTTTCTACCATATCGCACACACAATCTTTCCTTTCAATACACAGTGACCACGTCCGTTGCTGCACACCAGCACACGTTTAACCCACCTACCACCCACCAACAACACCGACGCGTTCAGACGCCGGGCTCCAGCCCGCACTCTCAACAGCATCTCTTGACGGGCATGAGAAACGAGAGAACAGAGAGCATCTCGCATATGTCACGATTCAAGGTTGCTGGATTGCACGTGGAATTCATTGCAGCGCAATACAAAATTGCTACGAAAGTAATAAAATCACCAGCATATACCTGTCAACATAGCGCAAGCTGACCATGTATTAGTAAAAAAATATGTTAAATCCTTTTTAAATAGTATCCTTATAAGAAGCATAACGGTGACGTCAAACATCATCCGAAACACTCGCTTGCACACATGGAAATCCGCGGCTCCGCGAGTCTCCGGCTCTTGGGGGGGATTTAGCATTGAAGAGAATGCATACTCTACACCAAGAAATCCTTGCTGAACACGTGATGAAAATGCATCAAAAGGGCATTAAATACAAGCCCTTCAGAGTGTTGCCACGGAATTATGATGAGCATAAAGCTAAAGCAGGGTTTCTTGTTCTCCGTTGAAAACAGCTTTTGGTTTTGCATTTACATAATTATTTACATTTTTGAGATCCATCTTTAACTTGAGCTGGGTTTTGCCAATGAATAATTTTCACATCATTAAGGTCGAAAAAGCTATATCAAAACAAATAAAGAACTTACAGCGGCTCTGACGGTTAGGACTTCCATTCTGTACACGCCATTTATGCAGCCTTCCAACGTCTTCTCTTTTGAAGAGCAGCATGCGGAGCCGTGATAACGCGATCGGTTGATAGTCAAGATACAGGCAATATATAAATTCAGCAGCTCAGTATCATACAATGAGAAAAGTATTGTATCAGACTCCACATCTGTGAGTAAATGTAGCGATACTAACTTTGTACAGCCGGCTTGTTCTATGAGGAGGGAATAATTCCTATGCCCTTGATGCAATGACCTAAGCCCCAATCACGCAGAACCCCGACAACCCGGATGGTTTAGTATTGTGCCTAATTTTGTGGAGCAGGTGGACAGAGAAGTATTTAATCCCAAGTAAATACTGCAAGCCATGTTCTCCCTGATATTGACTGTGTTTCTTCTCAAAGTCAAGCAAGAGGCTAGCGTTCCATGCAACTAAATAGAAAACAACACTGCTGGTCCCAAATTAAGTATATCTTGGTCAGTACAAGCCTAGATGGATATCACATTGCCCTAGAATCTTTCCCTCACGTGAGGAAGATTGTACCTTGGCTTAAATGTGGCTGCGCTACCTACTATGCCCCAAATGCTCCTATTTATAGCATTGTGCCTTGCACGACATTTCAATCATTAATTTATCCTTACATGCTCTGGGGTATTGTTCAACAGGTTGCAACATTGAAAACATTGGTTTCTACCAGCCATAATTGGGACTCACACATTTACAACAAAATTGTCAATATCAACAACTTTCTAGCAGCTCTATAGCTTCAAAAAATACAGTAGGTGTGAGCACAGACTTAGGAAGGAAGCACTTGCTTATGAACCTAAAAAATTCAAGAGTTGCAAGCATAGACTCTCTAATGGTCTTCAGCAATCACTGAGACTGGCTAGAGCATAGTGTTTAATGTCATCTGCTGCTAAAGAATGTCCTTCAGTGCAAGCTGTGAGTGCAGTACAAATTCAACTCAGTTATTTTGTTCTCACTGCAAGCTGTGATTTTAGAATATCTGTTAGTCCTAAGTGAGTCATAAGGCAAACACAACAATACTGTTTTGTGTGAGCTCTGATCTCAAAACCATAAAATCAGAAAAGTTCAAAGACTAGTATGACAACAAAACATGCCATCCAAGCACATACATGAACCACAGCAATGACCCCTTAGGGTTATTGAGGATCTGGCTCAAACCGGCCTGGGTTTATTTCCGTGCCTGGGCCACAGACTCTGAAGGGCCATCTGGTATTACAGCCTGTGGCTGACCAACTTTGAAGAACCTAAGCTCAGTATTAGTCAGTGACTGGCCAGACCATTTGATTATCTCATTGTGGAATATTTCAATGTCATTTCTGGTATTTCCATCCCATGTCAGGCAAGAGGACCTCACCCAATGGGAGCAGCTCTCTGACATTCAGGGTCCATCTGATCCATGTTCAGCAAAATGTGTCTCTGGTTGACTGGGAGCCCACTGCATACAGGCTCCATGTTAGGCACTCTGTGCATTAATCATGTGTTTAGCCATTTACACAGGGTTCAAACCTTGATTTCTGGGCCCCACCCAATGCAGGAGGCATTCAGTAACAATCCCAGATACTGGCCCTGTCCCTGCTTTGTAAATGGGCCCCCAGAGTCCAAGCCAACTCAGAGGCAAACTGCTTAGCATTGATGCTCTGAGACCCATATAGACACCTTTATCATGTCAGGGGCCTCTAACTGGTATAACAAATATCTTTCATATGCAGCCTGGATTGTCTTGTCTTGAAATCTGCATGCTGAAACTGTGTGCTTAAATGTGCTGATTGCATGCTGAAATTGACCTTAGAGGGCAAGGTGTTCAACTATAGGTCATCCCCCAGCCCACCTCTCATGGTTGAAAATCTGGTGGATAACATTCTTGTAGACATTTCCTTTGCACATCTGGTCTCTTAAGCATGCATTAAGGTTGGCAGCTTGGCCAAGCCAGTAGCAAGAACACTTACATTGCTAAATCTAATATGTGACAAAATGCCCATTTTCCTGGCAATTCATCTAATCTGGTAGAATGGCCTATTTTATTCATTTGTTTTGTTTGTTTTTTTATTATTCATCACCTTTTTTCTATTCATGTCTGTTGACTGGTTAATTAATACAGAGCCAAAATCCTGGAGACCATCCTCTGCTATCACCAGGTCAGCCACTGACCTTACACCAACAGGAGAACTCTCTCCTGTTTGAGGGCAGAATTGCTCCACAGCTTGAGGGCAGAATCAGACCTGCCCCAAAATCTTCATGATAGGTCTGCCACCTTTTCCAGATTGGTCTACAGCTAAACCAGACAATGCAGCAGCAATGGATAATTGAGATGCAGTTCAGTTAAAAGTGGCACAGCTTTCATGAAGTACCATTCTTTTCTGTTTTAAGAACCACAGCACACTTTCTGGTACTACCAGATCACCACCCAGCTTAGAACCAGCCCTGAGATATCATAAGCCACTTCAAAATGATGTTAGCTACCCCCAATTTAGGGATTCCTGCCCCAAAATTTCCAAAGCTGTTTCAAATCTCAGTCCTTGCCCTAAACCTACCCCAATCAGACCTCAATGAAATCTGTTCTGCAATCAAGCAAAATTGTATGAGTCACTTACTCCAGATTGAGCACAAATAGTGTTATTATCTCATATTGGCTTACTTTTAAGACCAGCACAGAAATTGAACAAGGCCTATTTGTCACTGTCAAACATACATTACAGACAATACAATGCTGAGTGCACACAGAATATGAGGATACTTAAAATGCTGTCATATTTTGACGTGCGCCGCATTCGTCTACCAAAACGTACCCAGTTCCTTCCACATCGCCTGATGCGTGGCGATGAACCCTTCGCGTATAGCCTTCAGCACAAGTTCGTCTTCATCTGACCAGAAGTTCTTCTGACTGACGACAAAGTCCATAAGATTGTCTTTCGCGAATTGGGCAGCTTCTCGACCACCATGCCCATCGAATATTCCGAAAAACGCATATTCCAGGTCTTTCTCGTCCTCTGTCTGTTGGTACGCAACAGAGAAGACATCTTCCATATATCTTCGGTCTCCCTGATTGCAATGGCCCGTCACACGTAGATTGACCCCGATGTTAGGAGCCATATCAACAAGTAGTGACACGCTGCACCTCAGCCACTCCGCCACCCACGGCCGCACTCAAACAAACGCAACGGTTTTGCCCAGGAAACATCGCAACAAAATCAAACACTGTGATTGGTTGTTACTGCCTTGCGTCATATGGCCTTCGCGGACAAGCCCACTTTCACAAAGCCATTGAAATGAAAAAGATGCTGTGGAAAATAAATATTAGTATGGGTTTTACATATTCAAAGCTGCCACTAGTTTACTGAAGCTGAATTTTGTGTACTACCAATTTCCGTATATATTTTCTATGAATCATCTTTCAGACTTACGTCACTACCAATTGGCAGCTGCAGCCATGCCATCTAGTGTGAAGCTCGTAAAGTGTGCTTGTAATATGGTCACTAGGAATACTGTCAGGGGTGCGGTTACACTTTCAGCTGGGAGAGTGGGGGAGGGGGGGGGGGGGTTCAGCCACCGATGTGGGGTTTTTATCAGCGTGTTTTTTCCTATTCAGTTAGTCTTTGAAAATGCGTTGAAGTTATTGAATCAAAATATATGTGATTCATAGACGAAAGTGAGCAAAATAGGCAGACAAACATGTTTGTTGGTTTTCGCGAGCATATGTTGCGTCATTTATCACTGCGCCCCCCCCCCCTCACACACTTAACCCCGACTTGGTGTCCGAAATCACATTCTTAGTTATTCGGGACACCAATTTGACACACTAACTCCCCCGCTTGTTAGTTTGGCACACTAACTCCCCCCCCCCCCCCCCCCCCGCTCCCTCCCTCCCTAACTGTGAGAAGGCAGTTAGGGTTAAACCGGACAGAAAGCGGCTTATTCGTTTACTTATGGGGTTTAAGAGCAAACACATATACGGATAAGTTTGTATGGGTGTAAGCATGCAGGGGCGGCGCAGCAAGGGGGCGGGTGGCAGCCAGCATTGACATGTGGCCACCACGTCGGGCCCATATGGACAGCCAACTACTCTATGGTGTATCCAGGGGGGGGGTCACGGGGTCATGCCCGATTCCGGGGCTTCCTAGGCTCCGAAAAGGCCCGCAGCCGGTCGAGCACTCGCAGTTTTTTTGTGACCAAAGCGCAACAAAAGTGGACGTATTTTGGTCCCCGATGATCAGGAACAGTCATAAGCCAAAGTGCATGGTCCATGGGCGGAGGAAAATGATTCTTCACTGATTTGGAGGTGGTGATTGAGGGATTTAAAGGCTCGTTACGCGGTCCAGAGGCCTTGTGTTGTTTCCAGGTGCCCTATAATTGCACTTTTACAGTCAATCGGATCGTTAAGGAGCCGTCCACGTTACCCTTGATTTCGTCGCATTCGCTCAGAGGCCCTGTGCTGTCATCGGACCCTTTCCGCTGGCATGCCGGCACACTTGTCGACCAGAGGCCTGTCACGGTTTTTTCCCAGTAGCCCGAAAAGCCCTATTCGCTTAAGCCGCGGGTTCCATATGTTACGCCGGGGTATTCTCGGTTGTTCAGGACCCTTCACATTGGTCTCGGTTTGCCTACCGGCACACTCGCGATGTGCTCATGGGCTCCCTTAATTGTGCTTAGGGCCATTCCAATTTATTGTTGGTTGCAGAGGGTCCTACACTCTTGTCAGGGTCCCATCTGTTAACCTACTCGGGCACACTCGATCGTTCGGGGGCCCGCAATGGGTTCTGGATGCCTCCTATTTGAATGGAGGGCCCTGCGCTCTTGTCGGGGGCCTCATCTGATGGCCCGCTCCGGCGCACTCGATCGTTCCGGTGCCCCCCCCCCACACATTGGTCTTAGGTACTTTAAAGTTCGTTGGGGTTCATACGCTCTTGGCGGGGCTCCACCTGTTAAAGGGAATGTTTCACTTTTGAAGACATTGAAGTAAGTATCAGATATGATGACACAAGCTCACTTATGACTATTGGTATGTTTTTTTAAGTGGAAAAGACTGCTTCAGACAGCACAATTCTCTGCGTAGTAAATATGCTCCTCAATGCGTCATGGTTTGCTTACGCCATCGTACTTTGTGCAACATTGATTGAGAGCCAATTGACGGCTGTCATGTCTGAAAATCGCGCTCACGAATGCCTCATATTAACGCCTCGATAGCAATGCTTTTATTGGCCTTGATCGCCGCATGACTTATGGAATGACAGGATTTGAATCACGTTATTATGATGCCATTAATGCCAAGGTGACTTTGAAATACTCTCTCCGATACGATTTTCCCATTTTCGCCGGCGTATAGCTCAGAAGCTAGATGGGCTTAGGCCTTGAGAAGGGCATAATTGTGAGCGGCACCGAAAAGTCTCCAAGATGGCTGCTTCAGCTCAAAACCACGTATAAATGTGGAACACTCCCTTTAAGTTGTTATGGCCAGTGGCAGATCCAGAGGGAGGGAGGCACGGGGGCCATGCCTCCTACACTTCTTATCCCTTAGGGCCCAAAAGCTCCGAAGGGCCCATAAGCAGCCGAACTAACGCAGTTTTCTGGCGCAACGCGACCACAAAACTGGGCGTCTTTGGGGCTCCAGTCGCAAGACCAATACCAAGAACAGTCGCAAGCGTAAGTGAAGAGTCCGTGAGCGGTCAAATATAACTTTTCGCTGATTGAGAGGCAGGCGATTGGGGGGGGGGGGGGATATTGCGGCCCATGGCGCTGTCGAGGCCTTACGCTGTCGCCAAGGTCCTACATGCCCACTTGTTGGGTCAATCCGATTGCTAAGGAGCCCACCCCGTTGCCTTTGATCTATTTGCATTTCGCCGCATGGCCCCACGCTGCTGTTGGGCACTATCTGCTAACGTTCCTGAGAACTCTTGATAAATCAGGAGCCCTCCACGGATTCTCCCCATTCGACCGAAATACTCGTTTCGTTATTGCCTGGGCCTCATGTGCCGGAGAACACTTGGTTGCTCAGGGGCCCTTCATATAGGTTGTAAGTTGTTTTCACTTGCTCGAAGGGCCCTGTGCTATTGCTGGGGCAATATAAAGCAACGCACCAAGACATTCGATGCTCTGGGACCCTCTACATTGATATAGGACTCTGTACCTTGCAGCGCATTTGTGGAGGACCCCTCACCCTTGTTGGGGCCCTTTCTGTTAAACTTCCTTGGCACTCTTTATCGCGCAGGAGCATATATGCAGGCACATTGGTCTTCGGTAATCACCCTTTGCTCAGAGTGCCCTGTGCTCTTGCCGGGCTGCTATATGTTATCCTGCTGGTTGACAGGAACACACATCTTAATCGGACGGGGAACACTTGATCGCTCCGGGACCCTCCACATCGGTCGTGAGCTCTTCCGATGAAGCCAGCGGGATCTTACTCTGTTGAGGTAAGTCCCGCGTATGGTTGCGAGCGTCAGGGTGTTTCGTCTGCCCGTGTGCACGGACCTGGCTAAATTACTTCTTGTGCACAAGTCCAAGATTACAGGATGACGATTTTCCTTGGACCCTTAGCCTTAGAGCAACAGTTGGATATGTGGCGATTATATTTGTGTGCACCATTGTAAAACATACTCTTACGCGCCACCGGCGTCATAGCTGTCATTCCGTTGGTTACGCGATTTGAACCATTTACCATGCTTGTGCACCACGTTCTTAACACATCCTGAATGTTAGGATATGTTATACTTCTTTATAACAGTCAGAGCAAACACACTGCATCGTGCATCAGACAACAGCTAATGACACCGACTAGCCGGCTAGCCGCAAACAAGCTAGGAATTAATTCCGCGCTTGTTTTTGATGGTATTTAGCAGCCAGCTTAGGCCCATTTTGCCATGTTTTTTTCCGAAATACTCGACCATGAAATATCAGGATCCATGACGATCTGGAGCAAATGAACGAGCTCCATGCATGTGCATGCGTAGTACGCCCAGTTTTCTAGGGCTGCGCACAGTAAGGGGCTCCCCGTATAAAATAACATCTAATAATTTTACAACGTATTGGTTGGAGTATGAAGATTTCGTTGGAGGGGGATCCAAACTTTATGGGGTCCACAATGCTGCGTGTCCCCGTGCCTTGACGAAATCATGGATCCACCACTGAACTGTGCCCACTTATATCCACGTGGGAACCGTAGGGGCGTAGGGGCGATAGCCATCGGAGCCATAGGGGGGTGGCCGCGGTCGCACATGCGTACCTACTCATGGGCTTTCTCATCTCTGAACCTTGTGATGCTCAAATGGGTGCCATACGAGCTTGGGTGACTTGCCCGCGTGCTATCCACATGGGTACCATATGGGCCCGTGTTTCTTTAAGCCGTGTGTTATGCGCATGGGCACTGTCTGGGTTCGCCCATCTCCAGCCCGCGTGGTGTCGACGTGGGCACCATATGAACCCGCTCATCTGTCAACCAAGTTGGGACCATACGGGCACCATGTAAAGTGCCGGGCCTTGTCGGCTCATCGCAGTCAACAGACGGTCAGATGGATGTCTGCTGACCACGCGCCGCGCAAGAGGCGAGGTATAAAGCAGCCCCCTTGGATATCACATGAGGCCGATGTGTACTATGAGCACTGCGTGTTCAATGACCCAAGCCATGCCCATATGACCACGAAATCACCCAGCCAACATTTGCGGTTTCCAGACACAGAATCGCGCCTGAACAATTATCTAAGGTACGGCCCGTGTCATGTGTCGGTAAGGGGCTTCGAGTCGGCCAGGGGAGCATTTGCCGAACAGGCGCAGGAACGGGACCCCGAATGACAGAGGGCTTCTTTCGTTGGTCGGAGCCCTCTTTCAGGGAAAGCAAGTAGGAGAACAGAAGAATGAAGATTGAGTAATGAAGGATGAAGAATGAAGAATGAAGAAAAAGGAGATGAAAGTTCATAATGGGCCAATGGAAGGTCTCTGTGCAGTCAAGGCACCAGCACAGAGGAGAGACCCTTCCGCCGCGATGTATCCCTCTAAAGGTCCCCTGATCGATCAGGCAACCCCGCCTCCGTGCACCGGAATAACAGCCGGCAGGCACCCCGCGCTGGGACGGGATGGCCCATCAGCCCTTTGCCGAGAACGATCAAGTGCTCTTCGTGACGTCATGAGCCACGGGGCTCCTTGCTCGTA